TATTATTATTATTATTATTATTATTATTATTATTATTATTATTATTATTATTATTATGAAAAAATATTAAAGTACGTATAAATATTTTTTTAGGGTCCTCCATTATAAAACGTATCTCTCTGATTTTTTGGAGGCTTTAATTTATATTATTGCTCATATAAATCTCTCTTTCTCATGCAAATGAGTTTATAAGCACAAAGTTAAGCATTGTTCGTCCTGATGGTGGTTTTCCCTGATTAATCGTGGTCGTTGTTCCTCGCTCTTTCATCCTAGTCGTCGTTCTCTCTTTCACCCTGGTCGTCGTTCCTCTCTCTTTCATCCTAATCGTTGTTCCTCATTTATCCTGGCCGTTGTTCTTTATTCCTTCATACCAACAGATTATACCAGGTGTCACGTCTTAAAAGTGGGACAGTTTGTTCCACTAGTTTTGTTAAGGTTCTTCATCTATTTTATAACAGCTGCTATAATGGCTTCGTCCACAATATAGACGTGTATGGTATTTATAGATTTAACTTATCATTATCACATTCTTGGGGAGCGCTAAACCCCTATGGTCATGCAGCGCCTTTGATTATTGGGAGGTAATCAGGTTCTATTCATTTAAGGGGAGGATACGCCAATTCCTTGGATCAAGAGCCCTTCACCTGCACTTCCCAGGCACTGTATGACCCTCCATGATAATAACAGTGACAATTAATTTTAATAATATAAATAATTACCGTGAGAATGCTACTGAGAAATAAACACCTCTTGCATGAGAGATACACAGCTCTCGGTACATATACCATAAGAAATACATAACTCTTGTTGTATGCTCTAAATTGCCCACTTTCTCACTATATCTTTCTCACACGCAGATAAGACAGTGACGGAGTCTAAACGACCGTTCTTCATCGAGACGACCTCTCCGACGCTGCTGGGGTCGTCAAGTCTGTCGTTCGGCAGCACCGGAGGCCCTAGGATGGCCTCTACACCTCGAGGAGGAGCTCTGAGTACCACCCTCAGCGGCCACCACCTCGCTCGACACGCCCCAGGCAAAGGGGCCGCCTCCCCCTACAGTGTCAATCCCTTCACCTCCCAGCCCCATCTCCTGCACAAGGTGAGTGGTCCTCCACTCCCTTAAAGCGTATTAGATGAGTACCTCTGGACCTGTGGGCAAAATTCACCGTAATAAATGATGCGGTTAATACACAAATAACCCGCACGTAAGATAGAGAATCTTACGACGACTTTTCGGTCCGACTTGGACTATTTACATGTTAGTTGTAAATGGTTCAAGACGGACCGAAACGTCATCATAAGCTTCTTTCTCCTATGTGAGGGATTATTTGTGTATTGTTCCAGTTACGGTTTTGTTCCTTTTTGTTTTTCTTCGAGGCGATTCATGCAGCAAATCAGTATAAAATTATTTCTTATTGTGGATGATTTTTGCACGACAATGTATCACTGTTTTCGTGCTCTCAGGGCAAAGGAAAAAAATAGTGGTTAAAAAAAAAAGACAGTTGCAGAGAGGAGCTTTATAGAGACGTTTCACCTGTGGCACAGATGCCTTCGGTTTAGAAAACCGAGTAGTAGATGAATAAGACACATGTGCAACACTTGGGTATCATGATTGTGTAAACGTGTCACCATTATGTCAGAACTGAGGGACTGACTACCTCGAGCTTCCTCATAACATCTTCAGCGATTTTACTCTGTATTCGATTGATGAAGCCACTGATTGGTGATACGTTTCCACAACAAAAATACTCAAGTGTTGCACATGTGTCTTATTCATCACCTTCCGTCTGTTACACGGACAAAAACGTCTCTGTAATCGTGTCTTTCTTCGCCACCTGTCTGCTTTGTACTATTTATCTCTAAATAAAGACGAGTGATTGGTTAGAAGTTTTTTGTATTAACGTTCAGTATTGCTTCGGTTGTTTTCTTCTTCCTTCGCATAGCACCACGCATTCCAGGTGGTCCATAACTGTATTCCTTTCAGCTAAATTTGTGCATGTTGCAAACCCTTGGCAAAATAAATTTATCAGATTTATACAGCAAAAGAAACAAGCTACTTAAAATAGATTTAAGCAGTTCCTAGTGTGAGAAATCACGAAAGTGCTTGGAAGTTCACTATTTTTTCCAGAGTGGTTATAAATATAGTGATATCACACTGTTTACTGTCATCTTATTGCAACACTGAACTTTAATTTAAAAAAATGAGAATAGCAAAGATATTTATTCATGAATAATTAGAGATGACTTATGCAGTTGCAGGTTTACGAGGTATCGCAGCTCACGAATATTTGCACAAACCTCGCAACCGAATAATTTGTGAATTGATTTATTTTTTCGCGTGTTCCAGGGAGTGGCCTTGACCTTGCGTGACCTTGTGCCACCCCCGCCTCCCCACCCTCCCCCAGGAACACACAGACACAGAGAGTTCTCAAGGACCAACACACTAGAGGAGGTGAGATGAGCAGGAAAACCACGGTTTATTATATAATTATAATTTTTGTAATTTGCATTAATTATTATTGTAATTATTATTATTATTATTATTATTATTATTATTATTATTATTATTATTATTATTATTATTATTATTATTATTATTATTATTATTATTATGGCAGGATATTCATGGACAGTATTAAATTCCCAAGGGCCATACAATGCTGCATCTATGGAGGGTGAAGCAAAACCGCTTACTTTAATGACGTGTGTAAGTTCCACACTCACGTGAATGTATCAGTCATTCACAGAGCACTGTGGGGCGTCGAACCCGATAACAATAGTGATGATACGAGTATGTTGTGTCTGATAGTGTGGCAGACTCCCACACTGGAGGTTCAGGTTCCCGACATTTGTGATGTTCTTGTTATAATCGCTGTGTCTCGCTTAGTAGGGATATATTACTAACTGGTATGCATAGCCTGGCTGGGATATTTTGCCTACCTGGAATATTCCATCCAGCTGGTATAACACAACTGAACTGTTTCATGATTCACAGTTAGTGTTTCATTCTACCTGGTTCCTATTTCAGTCCTATACCTCCTGGTGCTCATATTTTTGGCTTATGATCCTAGTTTCAAGGTGTGCAATTTAAGGAATAAACACAGTGTCGACACAAATTAAGATGTTTTGGGGTATCACGATTTGTAAAATTTTTATGTACGTAGATCTACGTAACAAATTATTTAGAAAGACAGAATTTCTTTTAGACCTTTCCTTGGTAACGAACTTTTACACAGTGCCAAATTGACGCCAGTGTGCCTATTTTATTATATTGTTATATTTAAAACAGTACTTACCAATTTGTACTCACCTATTTTTATTCACGTTTGTGTACTTACCTTTTTTACTGCAGCATGGGTCGAGTCCCAGTTACTGGACCTACCTTTCAATTTGCCGTTTGTCGGATTTACGCCCACATAACCTTGGCCATGTCATATCTGTTCTTAAAACTATGCATGGAGCCTCTCCACAACTTATTCGTCAAGGTCTTTTCACTTTCTGACCACCATGAGGCTAAAGAAATACTTCTTGACATTCTGTGACTCTCCTGCTTCTTCAGCTTCCTTCTGGTGAGCTCACTTTTCGCCTCTCGAACAGTCGGTCCTTGTTCACCTGATTAAGTCATCTGAGTATGCCGTATGTCATTGTCATGTCTCCCCTGGTTTTTATATCTGTGTGTGTATGTGTATGTGTGCTTGCACGCACGCGCGCGCGCTTGCTTTTCTAGAAGATCCATTTTTCGCTAGAAACCTTAGAAAGCAGTATGCTTTGGTTGAGAAAATATAAAAGAGAGCTTGATGTAGTAATCGGGAAGGGACAAAAGAGGAAGTGGTGAGGGAGGTGGGAGGGATAATGTGGTGAGAAAGGGGGTGAGGGGAGGAACACAGAAAGGAAGATAGAGCTGGGAAGGACAAAGACACAGGGAGGGAGACAGAGCTTGAGTGGGCATCGTCACAGGGAGGAAGAGAGGGCTAGGGAGGACAAGGACACTGTGAGGGAGCCAGGGCCTGGGAGGACAAGGACAAGCTGAAAATCTGAGACATTGCAGTTCATGTCAGTTTTGCAGTTACAAAAAGTTCCAGAGGAGGGATGAGAGAGAGAGAGAGAGAGAGAGAGAGAGAGAGAGAGAGAGAGAGAGAGAGAGGAAAAGAGACAGAGAAGAATATTAGCTCATCAAATATATTTAATAACGTATTAATATCGTGTGGGTTATTCAGCACAGTGAGTGATTAAGGCTCTAACCTCAGTTCGAAATCTTAGAACAACACGACACACGGGAAGCAGCAATCTCACCGCAGTACAAACACTCATACACTGTAATTGGGAGGAATCCCAGCGCGAGAAAAAACTAGTAAAGAAGTGGTGTCCAAAGTCCGAAGTGGATTTATATAAGCTAACTAATAAACCTACAAAGTTGAAACAGAACAACTGAAAGTTGCACCAGCGACCGAAACACAAAGAACACAAGTAAGGCATAACAGAGGTGACCTCACTTCTTTTCCTAATAAAAGTAGGAAATGCTTCTCCAGACGCTACAAGACACTGGTCACCACTCAATCTTCATTAGTTTATCGAATAAAATGTTACACTTGTGAGTCAGTATACGCGGGTGTGTTGATAAATGGTTCGGAGAACCGACAAGTTGATATATTAGACACATGTGCAACACTTGGGTATTTTTATTGAGGAAACGTTTCGCCACAAAGTGGCTTCCTGAGTCCAGTACAAAGAAGAGTGGGGAAAATCAGAAGTTTGAAGTAATCAGTCCATCAGTCGGTGAACTGAAAATCAGATGGAGTTTGAGGTAATCAGTCCCTCAGCCTGGAGTCGATTTAATCAATGGACTGATTATACAGACTCCAGACTGAAGGACTGATTACCTCCAATTACTTCTGATTTTCACCACTCTTCTTTGTATTGTACTGATAAAGCCACTGTGTAAGGAAAAAATCCCCCTCCCAAAATACCCAAGTGTTCCACACGTGTCAGGAACTTCATACCAGAATAACCTACATAAACAGTGAGTTAGATAATCACAAGATAGCTCTGCTACATTCTAAACAGTCAGATCTTGTAACCACACCAAAAAGTGAGAATGTATACACTATTATATCCACAAAAATTAACCAAACCTGTATTATTCATACAGCTTTAAAATGGCTGAGGGGAAACTATCAATCAGATGGAAAAGGTTGAAATTATGAATTTTGCGAAGACAAAGATAAAATACATAATAGAAGATTCATTCAGGAGGAAAATGCTAGGAAGCAGCTGTACATAGATCAAACTTCTAGTTTCAACATTTCTATGGGGCAACTCCAAGTTTTGTCTGTGCAGCAGACTTCTGTACACACATACACAAACGTACACACAAGCACACACAGATATGAAAATCAGGGGAGACAAGATAATGACATACAGCATACTCAGATGACTTGATAGGGTGAACAGGGACCAACTGCTTGAGAAACGAGAAATGAGCTCACCAGAAGGAAATTGAAGACGCAGGTGAGTCACAGAATGTCAAGAAGTATTTCTTTATGCAGCAGGTGAATATGTTCTAGGTTGATTCACCTGTATTCGACTGAAGAAGCCTGCTCTTCAGGCGAAACATTTCGGCAATAATTGGCAATAAAGAACACCCAAATATTGCACGTGTGTCCTATTCATCAGCTTGTCTGTAATGTATGCAACAGTAAATCTTACAGGAGTGGGACAGTGGAACTGGATTCCAGCATGTTTGAAAGGATCGACCAGCATTAGTCAATGAGATAGGAGTAATGTTTTAATCTTTACAGGTTACCATGATCTTATGACCACTCTTACGTTACAAACCCGGATGTAATCTTTATTGTTTTCTCTCTCTCTCTTCCCCCTGCAGCTGCCGTACGCCTGCTACTCATCAACGCGCGTCGCCTCTCCTCGCCCCTCCCGCACTGCCAGCCTGGAGGGGGGCGGATCCCCATATGGAGGTTCCACCAACACCTATCAAAGCATCGACGGACTCACCGATGCTCTACGTCGTGACGACGACGGTCGCTGCTGCTCCCATTCTTGTAGTCACGGACAGTGTCACTCCCACCACAATCATGGCCACGGACACTCCCACGGCCGCTGCAGCACCTGTGGCTCGCGAAACTCGTCGTCTTCGTATCGTCGCAATAGTGGTCGTTCCAGCCGTTGCGGTCACGTAAGGACAGGGCGGACGTCAGGAGGGTCTCTGCACTCCCTCTCCCGGCCTTGTTGCCACGATCCTAATCGCGTCTCTTCGTATGAATCAGCGGCACCTGCCATACCCTCACACACATACCGACCCAACTTCTATGGCTGGGCCTCACCACCTGGGTCACCGGCAATGGACGAGGGCCGGATGGGCCCCCGACGGCAAGTGTCCCTTGAGAGTGACGCTCTGTTACGGTCCGACCAGACGCAGGTCTACGCCCCTGGAGGCTCCATCCGCTCTGATGGGGAGTACTGGTGCAGCCGGGATGTGGCAAGCGTTTACGGCGGGTCGACGCGCTCCGCCGGAGGGGAAACGGGGGCAGGATCAAGAGCCGGACCACAAGGCACGTCTCCAGACTCTAGCGCCGTTGAAGGAGTCCCGAGTGATGCTGTCTCTTGCGGCTCCTGCGAAGATACCGATGCGTCCTTTTACGCATCGTGCGATAAGCAGACCAAATTATAAACCCGACAGCTCTTTAGACAATAGAATCAGCGACAGGGAAGAGCCGTGTTGTGCTAGTGTAGTGAAGTAGACGTCTGGGATCACTGGCGTCAGTGATGATAGTTATATAGTGTAGTGACGCTCGGGTGAGGAAAAAATCTGCCTCGTGCGGCTTACGTGACTCTGGCGATTCTTGGACGTTGCACTGCCAGTTGCTATTACAGACGTAATATCATTTCCCCAAGAAGTGCCATATACGCTCTTATATGGGCCCCAGTGGTGAGGAAGCGTGACCAGAAGTGAGGTGGGCAGCGATGTCATTACCTGGAGAAACTCGGGAGCTTCTCGTCTGGACTTGATGGGAGTATCACCTGAGCTCCAGGGAGATCATTATCCCTGTCCTTGTCACAACACTCTCCAGAGTACGTGTTTGTGTGCGTAGTAGGCAGCAGGAAGATTAAATTTCCTCTTCACAAACCAGCTTTATCTTATACTTGCTAAAAAGAAAATGAAAAACTCGGATGATTCACACAGATACATGGAGGGTCGTATTTATGTTGTGGGCAGGACCTACTATGCTGTACATAAGCTGACATAAGATAACTTGTCACTAAAGGAAACATCATATAAGTAGGGATAACCTCAGTAAATAATACAAGATGACCTTTAATAACTATAACATTAAATTCACAATACAATAATTTTTTTAACCGTAAAGTGTTTTAGATCTTGATTTTTTATGTTTAATTAAATAGGACTCGGCATATACAAAATTGGCCACGCAATCGCAAAAAAAAAAAAAATCGAATGAAAGATACCAGCAGCTATTGTAAAAATGAGAAGTCCCATTAACCCCACATGAAGTATTGATACTATAAACTGAAAATAGATGGACAGCAAGTTAAAAAAATATATTCAGAAATTTGCCAGAAAATAGGAAAACATCACGTTAAGTAATGTTGCTGCCTTTACAACATAACGTCTGTTACTTGAAATTGAAACACTAATGAGCTGCCTCATACTCTGAGAAATGTGTATTGTTTAGTAACAGCTTGCAACAGTGGGGTCTGATAGCACTTTACGAGTCTGAAAAAGGGTCCTCCTGAGGAAGACGCAGCAGGGGAGTTAGTTGAGAGGCCTGGTAGGTGATTCATTAACCAGCCTCTCATCCCCACACAGGTGACTATGCAAATAACTGGAACAAGGTGTTGAGTAGTAGCTGCCGGACCAGAGCTCTTCACATGTCAAAGGCTCGATATTGCACAAAAACTACACTTTGGACTATATATACACTATAAAATAGAATGTATAAAACGATATTTTTCTTATAACGTTCAATAAATGAAAGAACAATATATAATGTTACAGGGAAGTGCTTTAATACACAGTGTGACATGTGTAATAAATAGGTGAATCTTTTTTAACCGCTCAAAACACAAGAAAGTGATGTTCAACAGCCTGTGGTGACCTCACTTGTTTTTTAAGGTCTCACCAGAAGTTGAAAATTGACTACAGTGATATGCAAACAGAGCTTTTATACCGAGAGTGTAAACAAGTGTGATTGGGGGTGTGTTTTTGTACAAATATCGACGACGGACAATGTGAAGGCCAAGCCAGCATCTCCATACAGAAAAGTTTAAATGATGTCATACACTGTGTACATAAACATCATTGTGGTCTTCAGTCCTGTTACTGCATTGATGCCGGCAACTGTATGTATTCTGAAAGAGGGATTAAAAAAAAAAAGCGAGATCTGGTGGAAGAGCGAATATTTTCTCTATCAGACGGTTTGTACATAATAAAATTGTAACACAAATGAAAGCTTATGGAACTGCTTGTAATGTTGAAGACAATATGGCAAAGCTGTCATCTTCATCTTGGGTATCAGGCTCTTAACATAGAGGTACTCGAGTGATCAAACTAGCATGTAGAAATTTTTTGATATTACAGAGTATAAGTTGAAAAAAAAATCTAGTCATTTGCCGTTGAAAGCATAATTGATAATTACACTACTGTTGTTAAGCGCTAGAAATACCTAAACCGTAAGCTTGTTTTTATACAGACTTGTGAATGTATTCGTTGGACTCTAGAATTCTGGTTATTCGCGCACAGTATATTGGTATGTGTGACAGCAAAAAAAAAAAAAAAACGTCGATTATACGCTCTAAGACAGGTGTAAATATAGGCCATAGACTTTTATAAAGTTGTCAACGCTCCGTTATAGAGTGTCTAAAAAATTGAGATTCGTTGTTGGTAACCAGCAATATTTATGTTTTTTAGCCACTCGGTGTTTGACAACAGTCCTCGTGTCCCTTACCTCCCTCCCCCCCGCTCCCGCAACCCTCATTCCTTACCCCTCCTGCAACCCCTCACTCCTGCAACCCCTCACTCCTGCAACCCCCCACTCCTGCAACCCCCCACTCCTGCAACCCACCACTCCTGCAACCCCCCACTCCAGCAACCCCCCCACTCCTGCAACCCCTCACTCCTGCAACCCCCCACTCCTGCAACCCCCCACTCCTGCAACCCCCCACACTCCTGCAACCCCCCCTCACTCCTGCAACCCCCCACTCCTGCAACCCCCCACTCCTGCAACCCCCCACTCCTGCCCTCTCGATACTTTAATGTTTTAACATAATAACACAATTGCAAAAATAAAAAAAATAAAAAATTGGACGTCAGTGAAGAGGAAGATCAGCCCCTCGATCATTAGGAAAATGTGACGCAACGGCACTATTGTTTTTCCCCTGAAGTTAAGGAAGGTTATATATATTTTAAAAGAATTTGTACATAATTTTTTTTTTCTTGCTTATGAACAAATGAGCAAAAAAAAAAAAAAAGCAGTGCTGAGGAAATCTCGTCATTCACAAATTTCCAAATGTTCAGATCAATCGATTGTTTTATTGACTACACAGTTTTGCAGTTTTTTTTTTTTCATACAAGCTGCGCTAGATGAAAAAGTTGATACCTAGAGCCAATACTCATGAACATCAGAAAATCAACCTGAATATAACACCAGAATTTTGTCCTAGTGATATGTGGTATAAATAAATGTCCTACTTTTATTCTGAACACTAATTGATGAAAGAGAAACTTAAATTTTCCATATCAAAGAAACCCTTATATTGTTATTCCGATGCCATTATGTTATTCATTACCTCTCTCTTTCCCATGTTCTGATTCCCCACACAACTGACCCTAACCCTCGTCTCTTGTTCGTTATTTATTGTAAAACTTATTGCAAGAGCTCGACTGCCTGGTAGATCTCTCCCACTTTGAGCTTGCTTCAGGAACTCCATTGCATGGTGGTTCTCTCCTATTTCGAGCTTACTTCAGGAACTTGAAAGTCTAGTGGTTCAAGCCTGCTCCGAACCTACTGCAAGAGCCTGAATCTATCGTGATTCCCATGCTTCGAGCCTCTTGTAGGAGCTCGATTGTCAGGTAATGATTCCTAACTTCGAGTTTTCCTTTAGGAGATCGATTTCCTGGTAGTTCAAACTTGCTTCAAGCATCCTGTAGGAGTTCGATGGGCCTATGAGTCTTCCCTGCTTCGAGCCTGCAACCCGACCTAACACTTGCTCACAAGGATCCAAAATGTTTCGTGAGCTGATGACTTGGGAGATGTATTTGCTTCGTCTGGAACTGAGGTACTGCTTTAAAGATTTGCTTCATTGGTGACTTAAATTCTTCATTTGCTAGGCATCTTTAGTAGAACTTACTGACTTCGGGAGTTTACTCGCTCCAGCGCTGAATTTTTTATTCACTCTTCCAGGGACTTCTTTATCGACTAATGTCTGTGATGGGATTTTTTCATGCGAAACCTAATTTTCTTGTAATTTAGCCTGCGAAATAATTATTTATCATCTTCGGTAACTTCTTCAGTAACTTCTTAAGCATTTTTGTGACTGACATGTAACTTCTTTAGCGACTTTTGTGACTGACTTCTTTTGTAACTTCTTCAGTAACTTATGTGACTGACTGACTGACTGACTGATTTAATGTAATTTCTTCACAGCTTCTTTGACTTCTTCAGCAACTTCTGTGGCTGACTTCAGTAAATAGCAACTTTTGTAACTAACTTCTTCAGTAACTTCAACTTCTGTGACTGACTTCAGTAACTCTAGCAGCTTCTGTGACTGACTTCTTCAGTAACTTCGTGAACTATTACTTCAGTGTTCCCGGCTTCTAACTGTCGCTCGAGGCCAGATGACGGTAACTTTTCCTTAACTATTATCAGTTCCTCTATTCTTCCCTCCACTTGCCATTTAATCTTTATCCTTCTTTCTCCACTCTCTGTAGTCGGTTTATTCAACATATCTATTGTAAATAATTCTTCTATTATTTTGTCTTATATGCTGTTGTTATTCCCATAAAGTCAGATGCTCACGGACGTAGTTATGTACATAATGTAAATAAATATTAGATTACTCTCCTTACCCTCACCTCCAAATGCTATCCATTACCTTTCACCATCCCTCCCTACCTCCTTTCCTCGCAACTCTTTCCATCCACACCCTCCTCCCATCTGCTCTCTATCTGTCTCCTCTTTTCTCTTTATTCTTTTCCTTTTCCTGCCCCTCCAGTCGTTACTTTGTGAAAATAAGTATTTTTTTTTTCATTTTTTGGGGTGAATACATTCGTTTTTTCATCCTTCCCTTCCTCCCACTTCTTGTACATTTTCCCTTTTCCTTTCTGTTTCCCAGTTTTCCTCTCCCCTCTTCGTCATCCCCCCAGTCTATCGACATTCCCTGTCGTGTCATTCAACAATATAAGAGAACAGTTCTTCTGCCAGTGGGTGAACAAATAATTGATGTAAATTGGCTTTGTATTCCACAAACCCTTTAATTCCTTAGAGATGAAGAAAAATAAGCATTTTGTATCTACCCTTTCTATAATATGTAGAAGAGCATAGGAGAACCTCACCCCTCACCCTTGAATATACACCGCCGGAGGCGTCTGCATTTCCTCTCTTGTGAGTCCTCCGCTTCAGGAGACCGTGGAGAGTCCAGAGGAACTCTCGACTAGGTTTAAAATATACTAACAATGAGAGAGTATAATTACGAAGAAGCGTTTAAACCTCGAGTTGTTATACAGTTCCTGGGGAATGGGAGGCAATCGAACTTGATCCCAGGAAGGTGATGGATGGCTGCAATTCGTGGGATCAAGAGCTATGAACTGGTGTCAACGTGAGATGAGCTTTTAAGTAACCTGATATTGAAGGCTGAAGACGAAACAAGAGAGGAGGATGCAGGTTCTTCCAGTGTTTCCACAGCCTCGGTAAGAGAGGAGCCACCTGCGGTTTGTACCTGTAGAATATTGTTTTGTGAAAGACAGATAGATGTAAATATAATATTGTTTGCAATACTGAGTTGTTTGTCTTTACGTGGAGTGCATGTGTATGAGCAACCTAAGCGAGGGAAGATGGAAGGTAATGAGCTATTGTGAGCTCACACACACACACACTATATATATATATATATATATATATATATATATATATTATATATATATATATATATATATATATATATATATATATATATTATATATATATATATATATATATATATATATATATATATATATATATATATATTATATATATATATATGTATATATGAAAGACAAGCCACTGGGGGTGGAAATCTTTAGCTCAAGTACTTTCACACTTCTGAGTGCGTCATCAGGAGCTGTGCAGTGCTCCAAAGGCAACAAGAGGAGAAGTAGGGTAAGTTCTCAGAGAGTGGTAGTGTGGAGCCAGCCAGCCAGTCTCTGAGAGAGAAAAGCGGGATGCCAACCACACACCGGGGTCCCCTACACCCCAAATGGGGGTGGG